CCCAGAGGGTCTGCAAGCAATTAGGGAGTTGAAGTCACCATGCAGCCTGAAATCAGCCCTTCTGGGATATCTACAACCTCCTTCCTGCATATAGTACCAGTGAAGCCCCGAAGCCCTCTCCTTTCCATACATATTGCTTTAATCACATTAATTATTCCTTTTTGGCAGACATGCCTCGTGAGATTTGAGCTTAATTTTCCTTGCGTATTTTGACTTCTGATGTGGCCTCTGAAGTAACAACTGTCTGGAGTGATTAACTTAGATGGGTGTAGAAATCTGCCCATAGAATCCAAAGGAAAAATAACCCCAAATCCAGCCTAGTTTGAGAGTCTGTCTCGATACGTCAGACATGATGGAACAGGATGCGACTGAAATAATCCTGTATGAAATGAAACAGTGTGACAAGCGTGATCTCGAATTGGAGCAGGTAAGGGGGAAGATGGGACAGGGACTAATTTCTGAACAGGAATTTGATCATATTTTAAAGTAATTATATAGAAGATTTTTCTTAAATACTTTAAATAAAATAAAGAGTTTCCTCATTGGTGTGAGGGACACAAGTTGGCTCCCAGAAGCTGGGACTCTGGAGAACTGACTGAAGAAGTGAAATTAGTGATCGGCAGGGAAAGGTGGCTCTGACATCAGTCCTAGAATGGCTTTGGCTTAGAGGATGATTGACATTCATGATAGTCCCTGATGTGGCTGCATGGGCTCATTCCACCATGTACTACAGGATGCCTGGCAGACACATGGTGGAGAATTGATCCAACAATGACTTAGGTTTCACACTATCACCCAGGATAGAGTGATGATGAGCAAATTAAGTGGCAGGAAAGCCAGAAAGGAGCATCCTGTAGTGGTCAAAATAAGACACCACAGATCAGGGTTTTATCAGGGGTGATGGCGAGACAATCACATTTATATTATTTTGAACAATTAAAATATATATAGGGATTTCTTACCATCCTCAGTGAAGATGGGAGCTGTATGCAAGTAGTGGATGATGTTATGGTCTTGCTCAAAAGGGCATTCCACTTGCTTCCATGTTATAAACTCTCCTACTTGCTTAGCCAGTTCCAGGAATTTCTGCAAATGTTATAAAAGTCCATTTAGTATAAGAACATCATAGCACCAAAAGGGTCACACGTGTGGAGAGGCTGTAGAATCCCACATACAAACTGCATGGATATGCATTTGCAAAGGAACATCATGACATTTAGAATGGAGCATTTTCTCAATAAACCTTCCCCTGGGTTTCCATGCCGTGCTGAAAGGGGAAAAAGCCGGTTTGGGTCACCCTACATTCTGTCACAACATGAAATCCTGTGTTATCATTAAATAGAAATGTATCCATAAACAATTTACAGTTTCTATACAGAGAGTTTGCTCCAGAATGGACGGCATAAAACTCAGTGCCATTCTGGGATTTGTCCAAAGTTTATTACATCTCAGAATTTAGAAAACAGCTTTGTACGAAACGCTTCACAGGAATAGATCATATAAAGCAGTAAGCAATATAACTTTCTAATAGAAATAACAAAGGCACTGTATCAAAAGTGGCGTGTGACAACATAAATCAGACCTCCCAGTCTAAGGCTTTGTCTACATTAAAAGTTTAAAGCTCAGTTGCAACAGCACTTTAAATTGAAAGTGTGGCCACAGCACGAGCGCTGGGAGAGAGCATTCCCAGCGCTCTGTGTAAACTATCTCCACGAGGGCAGTTGCAAATAGCACTGGGAGTATGGCTGCCAGCACTGTAGCCAGTTTACACTGACTCTTTCTAGTGCTGTAACCACTGCTCTTTGGGGGTATGTGATTTTTCACACCCCTGATCCAGAAAGGAACAGCGCAGTACAGCACCAGTGTAGCCTTAGCCTAACAAAGGCCAAAGGAACAGCGCAGTACAGCACCAGTGAAACCATAGCCTAACAAAGGCTCCCTTTTTAATCCTTAGACCTGTTCAAACCTGTTCTACCAAAGCACAAGGATGCTTAAGGTGTTTTGAGTTAAGCTATGTTTGCACTGCAAGCTAGAAGGGTAACCCCTTGCTCACATTCACATCTTTGCAGATGATGCTCAATGAAAGCCAGCAAACATACAAGGCATGGCCAGTGGCAGGAAAGGCAAGGCCTCGCTGTGGCAAATACAAACACTTCTGAAAGTGGTGCACATGCACGCAGCACAGCTTAGTCTTGCTACCATGGCCTATATTACCACAGCTACGCTACTATTTATACTTTGCACTAGCTTTCACAAACTACTGTGTTTGTGAGCAGAGAATCACACCCCTAGCTTGCTGTGAAGATAAATGACCCCTTCCTCTCAGACTCTTAACTTACATTACTCCTTAAAGCATCACAACACAACAAGCAACACGCTTGGCTCACCATATGGTGAAGGCCTTCTGCCCCAAAGCCTCAAAGAGAGGCAGAAACTTAAGAGAAACAAGCAAAAGAGAAAAGATGTTTTCTGGTGAGATTCAGAAAGCACACGAGTTGAGGGAGCAATTTTTTTTTCTCATTTATACAAGGGTAAATCTACTGAAGCTGCTTCATATCTGCATTTTCACAGAAGCTGAAGAATACAAAAGGGTAATGCATAACACATTGTTAACAAGTCGAAGGCATCCACATTGCATTCAGCATCCTGTCACATCAGTACAAAACCACCCTCTAGTGTATGGACTCAGAATTGCTCAACTATTTATAGGCAGTGTCAGAAGAAGGCCAGTTTAGTCTGTAACTTTAAAAACAATGAGTAGTTCTGTGGCACCTTAGAGACTAGCAAATATATATATTATCATGAGCTTTTGTGGGTAAACCCACTTCCTCAGATGAGGTGGCATCTCCTCTGACGAAGTGGGTTTTGCCCACAAAAACTCATGGTATTATACATATTTTTGTTAGTCTCTAAGGTGCCACAGGACTACTCGTTGTATTTATAGGCAGTGTCATTGTAGCTGCGTTAGTGTCAGGATATCAGAAAGACAAGGTGAGTGAGGTAATATCTTTCACTGGACCAAATTCTGTTGGTGGGAGAGACAAGCTTTCCAGCCACACAGGGCTCTTCTTCAAGTCAGGAAAATGAACTCTACGGCCAGGTCTATACTAGACCCAAAGACCACCTTAAGATAAATAATGTAGCTGGAGTCGACATATCTTAAGCCACCTACGGCCAGGTCTATACTAGACCCAAAGGCCACCTTAAGATAAATAATGTAGCTAGAGTCGACATATCTTAAGCCATGCTTGGCGGCATCTCCACAGTGGGAGGTCAACAGGAGCAAATGCTCCCATCAACTTCCCTTACTCCTTGCAAATTGAAAAGTACTGGTGCTGACTGGGGATGCTCTCAGCGTTCGATTTAGTGGGTCCTTACTAGACCCAATAAATTGAATGCCAGAAGATCAATTTCCAGCTTGGTAAGTACAGACATTGCTTCAGTGTCACAGCAAAATGACTGAATAGAGACGTTCGGTTTAAGGCTTACTACAACTTACCTCCCCCCGCCTTTTTTTTTTAAAGATGGCAGAGGTGTTATGGGTCTCTCTGCCTTGAACAGTCCCTTACAATGTGTGTTAAAACTGCTTCCACTGAATAATCTGGTCTACCTTGCATTTAGCTGTGATACTGCAAGTTCCTTACCCACCTTCTCTCTCAACTCTTTGTCACTATTACCATTGCATGGCTGGCCTATGGAGAGAACACATGTCTTTCTGCTGCGTGTAATGGTGGTTAACACAAACTCTCCTGTAGTGTAATCAATAAAGGCTTCAAGCAGATCACAATTTTTAATTCCCAGGCCAAACGGCATATGATTTACCTGATAAACATAGTGACTGTATAAATGAGGCCTTATATAGGTCAAGCTGTATTCTTATATTTATCTAATGCTTGCAATTGGTTGATGGTATCATAACTGCAGGGTAACTGTCTCCAACGTACCCCTTTGTGGTCTGAGGCTGTGTTGAGGCCCACTGCCTCAGTTTTCCCCTCCCTTAACTATATTCTCCACAGGCTTTTTGTGGCAAAACCAACCCTCCTTAGGTCTGGGTTCATTAACATAAAATCAACTCTAAATAAAACTCTATACACCAAGTTAAAGTCCAATAAAAGTCCACACAAATATAAGTTTCTTTTCCTACTCCCAGCAGTGTTCCCTGTAAGCTGAGTGCTTGGACAGTTGCTCAAGAGAGATTCAAATGCCACCCAGCTGATTAGCAGAGTACCCACAGCCGGAAGCAGCCAGCAGCATGTGTTTCTACTGGTGGTGCACATCTGCATACACCTTGGTGTACATAAAAAATTTATTCTGCACATAGATGGAAAAGTTACAGGGAACACTGACTTCCAGGCCTTCCTACAAAGTGTAGGGTTACCAATTTTGATTGGATGTATTCCTGAAAGACTGGCTGCCCAAAAGAGGAGCCTCTTTTGCTTCTGTATTTAAGCCAGCTAATCTATAGGACAAAATTTATGATTTGCCACTCATTCGGCATTAGAAACTCCTGGTTGTTTTTTTTAAAACCTCTGACTAGAATATTCCTCTCTCTCTATTTTATTTCTTTTTAAGGGAACTGGGATTGATTTTTCAACCAGGAGGGTCTCCCCTCTTATAGGAGCCAGTCTTTGTGGCATCACACTGCAATATGTGCTATCAGGACAGAGTAGATAAAGACATTTGTAGATCTTACTTCAAAGTTGACGTGCCCATTCGGAAGGCGATTAGCACATCCCTCGTTCAAAAAGTAAATGTCTTTTATCAATAGGCTGAAGAAAGGGATCACAATCTGCGAAGGGAATGACACAACGATTATCTCTGTGGCTCAGCATTTTCACTGTGTGAAAGAAAATGTTCAGTCAGAAGGAAAAAGAAAAGATTAACTTCCCAATGTACTGTTCTATTATATAGCAACACAGTGATCAACAAGCCCAAGGAAGGAGGGTTCAAAAGTATTTTGAATGATCTGGGGATGACAGCACCGTTGAAATGAACGTTCGGTGGGCACTATGGACACAGAATAAAGCAATAAATTAAAACGACTGTGTTTCCTTCTTATTGCTTCTTAATATTTCAGCGGCGCTTTCCTGAGCAAAGATAAGACTCCTTTGTCAACAAAGCTGTTTTATTAGCAAGTGGAGTCACGGACAACAATTTAAAGATAGTCAAAACTCAGGAGCTAAAGAATACAATGACCATGGAGAACCCTTTCTACAGACACAGTTAGGCGAACACTAACCGTCACACCAAAATAAACAAACGTGGAAAAATAAAATCCTGTGAGTTAGGGTGTGTCTTTACAGGGAGTTAGTCTCCTGAATAATTTGGTGTGCGGGCATTGCAAGAGTAAGAGCGCCACATTTTTGTGCACACTAGCCCAGCAGAGCCAACAGCCTTCCCAGGCCCTTGGCCACGGCGGTGGGGGTCCTGCCCTGTGTCTTGGATGGGCAGCCCTTAGCAAAGCCCAGACAGTGCTACACCTTTCCCAGGAATCTCTCAGAGCTGCCCAGAGCGTGCTGTATGGCGCTCCAGCAGCAATTTAAAGGGTCCAGGTTCCAGATGCTGCTGCTGCTGTCACAGTAGCCATGGCAGCTGCGGGCTCTGGGCCAGTTGCCTTCTTTGCTCCCCTCCATTGGTGGGCCTGGACAAGCCCTAAAGGGGCCAATGCTCTCGTCTGAAAAGCAGAAATTCTAATGACTCAGATGAAAGAAGATGATTTATACTGTACCTTTGGTAAATGCTTTTGCCACTAATGACACAGGCCCAAGTCTTCATGTGGCATAGATCAGTGTCACTTCACTGACTTCCAGCCATAGAATCACAGAACACTAGAACTAGAAGGGACCTCGAGAGATCATCAAGTCCAGTTCCCTGCCCTCACGGCAGGACCAGGCACCATCAAGACCCTCCCTGGTAGATGTCTATCCAACCTGCTCTTAAATATCTCCAATGATGGAGATTTCATAACCTCCCTAGGCAATTTATTCCAGTGTTTAACCACCCTAACAGGTAGGAAGTTTTTCTTAATGTCCAACCTAAACCTCATAATGTGGATTTACACTGGCTGAAGATGTGAACCACTACCAGCAAAACTATGGCTTCCACTTTATTTCTGATCAGAGAAAAATACTGTTTAACAATCCAAGTGGTTCTCAGCCAAGGGTATACATATTCCTGGGGCATTAACAATCCAAGTGGTTCTCAGCCAAGAGTATACGTATTCCTGGGACGAGAGGTCTTCCGAGGAGGATACATCAACTCATCTAGATATTTGCCTACTTTTATAACAAGCACTAGCAGAGTCAGTACAAACTACAATTTCATACAGACAATTACGTATTTATACTGCTCTATACCATACATTAACATGTAAGCACAGTGTTTAGATTGTCGTAAAAACGAGAGTCAGCAATTTTTCAACAATTGTATGTTGTGACATGATTGTATGTCTGATTTTGTAAGCTGGTAGCTTTCAAGCATGGTGAAACTTGCGGGTACACAAGACAAATCAAACTCCTGAAAGGGGAACAAAAGTCTGGAAAAGTTGGCTTAGTTCCTAATCAGCCAGCAGCACAAAAATGTCATAGAACATAGGTGCAACCCCAATTCATCCCAACATGCTGGTATGAAAAGCTATAGGCTAAAGGCAAAAGGCACCAATTTGATCAAGACCATGTGGCAAAAGGAGGCAAAGAGATCTGGAGACAGAAGGGTATTTATTTGGTTTCTGGTTTGGTGGAAATTAAGATGAAAAGTCAGACACATTCCTGCAAAGCCTCAGTCAGGACTAGGCTGGGGAATAGTGAAATCAAACACTTGGGGTACCAAGAAATTTCAGCAGTAACCAGAGAGACCTAAACAGAGAGACCTTACACTAAAAAAAAAAAAAACCAACAAAAAAAACCCCACTGGGGATCATCTGGGGCAAACTGGAAGGTGCACACATATTCAAAGTCCTGTCTCCAACCAATGGGATGCCCTATCATCTAGCTGTATTTTGTACAGGTGGGATCCAATTCCACTTTAATGTAAATTGTTTGAACACAGTTGAGTTATGTTAGAGGAAAAAAAACGACCCTACAGATTCTAAAGCTGGATCTAGGAATAGGTATGAAGCCTTGAGCATCCTGGTATGGTTACAGACTGCAATGGGCCCATCTGAAGAGGTAAGGAGCTCCCGTGGCATCAGGGCCAAACCCAAATGCTGAGAGCTAGGGGGCAGGGCAGCCAGTGACACCAGCACCAGAGATCAAGTCTGTGTCTTCATTCTTCTTTGGTGAGCAGGCCATACTAGGGAAAGGCCACTCAGGAGGCTTGGTCCAGTGAGTCAGCTCTAACTTAGTGTGTATCTCCTTTGTAGATGCCATGTCTGCAATTTAAATAGCCAAGTGTGGGCTCGATCACTGTGAATGAACATAAGAATAAGCCCTGTAGGTTTAAGTATCCAAGTGGATTTATTAGTAAATGAGCTGAACTATATGTTACGCGGGACTGCTGATAGGGGGCGTCATAATCAGGAGTGCCGACCAGCACCCAGTGACTAAGGGTACGTCTACACTAGTCCCCTAAATCGATCTAGGGAGGCTAATGAGGGCGACCGAAATTGCAAATCAAGCCCGGGATTTAAATATCCCGCGCTTGATTTGCATGTTCCCGACTGGTCGCCATTTTAGAAATTGACTAGCCCGAAGTAACTGCCTGCGTCTACACGCGGCAGTGAAATGGGATTCCGATTTAAAGCCTCTAAATCGAATTAGCTGGTAAACCTCATTGCTTGAGCTTGCTAATTGTTTTTCTTTCCTTTTTTGTAACTAAGCGTTACAGCCCAGAGGTTTTCCCTGAGGATCTATATCAAATGGTGGCTCTTTCCATCTAGACAATTTACTGTGCTTGCAACTGTAGTTTTGTTTCGATAAAAAAATATTGGTTTTTTTCTTAATCAACCAGTTAACAGTATTGGTTGATTGTTGTGTCCTTAGGACTCAGTACCTAGTTACAAGGCCAGAGTCCATTGTTGTCTGTGGATTCCATCTGTTTTTCCCAACTCCAAGCAAAACAGAGTTTGGGAGAGGGGGCAAAGCTTAACCTTAGGGAGGGGATTTCCCAAGTGATCTCTTCCCTGATTTTCTTGGAATTACTTGGGTGGTGGCAGCGGGTCCCCCAAAATCTGGGTATTAGGATTTTGTGGGGGAAGTTTTTGTACCAGAGCCTGTAGAGGCAAAGTTTTGGAGTGCTCTTGTGGGCCCCCAATTTCTGCATTCCTCATGCCAGAATGGAGAACAGCATTGACAGGGGGCATGAAGGGGACAGTTGCCTTGCAGCCTGCTAATTCAAAATGGAGCCCGGGACCCTTTAAATCGCCACCAGAGATTCAGTTGGTGCTAAAGGGCTGACAGGGGAGGCTAGTTCCAGCTCCGCCCCTTTCGCCTGAGGTCCTGCTCCAGCAACTCTGTTGACCCCTCTGATCTTAAGTGAAAGCACAATAGCTCTGAGGAAATGTAAGGCTATGGGAACTGATGACAAGGAAGCAATCATGTAGTTAAGTAGTAGAGGTCATACCCTCTCATGCTGAAGTGGTATGCGAAGTGGAAGTAAGGTAAAATGTCACCAGTGATTTTCCGGTCTACAGCCTTCACAATGCGCCAAGAGCAAGTGCACGCACTGGATAGATATTAAAAAGGAAATGTAAGCCAGGACTCCCAAGCCCTGAATGCTGCTCTTGTCATAAAAACAGAAACCACTTTCTGGCCGAGGCGTTGCCTGGAGTGAATTGCTAAAGGGATGTAGCTCACCTGATGCAAATTCCTGCGAGTTTTTTTCCGTGAAGGTTATTGAGGGTTTCTTGACTGTAAACGAAGTGCTCACAAAGGAAGGCCAGACTAGTTTCTCTGGAGACTCCAGTACTATCTTGATTCGTAGAATGGATACAATATGGGAAAGGGTGCAGTGAAAAGTCCAACACGCTGAGCCCGATCCTACAAAGTGCCATGGAACTGCAACAAGGCGGGAGTCAATAGGAATAATCGCCAATCAGTCGTGAGTTGAAGATGCTTTTAGGATTGGTCTCATGCCAGGCTAATGCACCCAAAGCCTTCCCTATATGCAATCTACAGCGTGTCCGCTGAGGCTACCACTTAGTGCCAGCTGTGACAATCTTTTAGTGCTGTTGAAATGTGTCTATTTGGAATGGAAATAAATCACTTAGATCACCACCTGGAAGTGACCAAGATCTCTAGTTCTCGCTAGGACTTTTAGGGTACGTCTACACAGCAGGGATAAAGTTGAATACGCTACACCACTCCAGCTACGTCAACTGTATAGCTGAAGTCGAAATAGCTTAATTTGGCTTTTGGCGCTATCTACACAGCAGGAAGTCAAAGGAAGAACACTCTTCCTTCAACTTCCCTTACTCCTTGTGAAATGATGAGTCAGAGTAAGAAGTCCTCCAGCTCGACTTTATTTTGAAATAAAGGGCTTGTAGTGTAGATGCGGACTATGTTATTTTGGAATAATGTCAGCTATTCTGAAATATCGCTGCTGTGTAGACATAGCCTTACTGTTTTTTTCTACTTTGTTTTTTGTTTTTGAGCAACTAATAATGTCCCCAATACAAACATATCACCCTGTGTGTTTGAGCTTCAGAATCTTTATAATGAAAGCAAATAAACTGGAGAGTCATATTTTTAAGACAGATTATTATCCAGCCACTTAACTAGCACAGAACTTGGGCAAGAGCCAGAAATTCACATTTCATTCCCTTTTGATTCCCCTCCCCCACAACCATCTAAT